GCTTAACCGACTGAGTCACCCAGGCATCCCTATTACTATATTTTTAAGATCTCTAGTGTTATTACCTCAAATTGATGTCCTAAAACATTGTCTATCAACAGGGCAACCGTTATTACTATTCTTTTGGAAATTGGTAAATTTAGCCCAAGTGAATGGTGCGCATGGTAGAGGAATCAAGTCAACAACTTTCCATGTCCACTGTCCATTCTCTGTGCTAAATTCTTATTACAGACTTCAAAAAGCAATCAGCATTATGACACAAGATATAGCTGTGTGTGTGTGTGTGTGTGTGTGTGTGTGTATAAACATGGACGTACATATACGACCCAATCCCAGTACTCTTAGCTACTTTTTTTTCATTTAATCTATATTCAGGTACAGTTTAACATCTACAGGAGCTCTTTCTTTCTTTCTTTTTTGAAAATCAGTGTCAGTAATTAACGATGTACCAGACTCCTCTTCTCCTGCCTCAGATCGGCTTCCCATCAGAAATCTCAACTAGTTTACTGTCCATTTTATTAGGATTTACCCTCCTAGTTTCATTTGCTAGACTTGAAGGCATAGCCACTCTCCTGGACCAATTGTGAAGAATCCAGTTCCTACCTTAGGCCCAAAGGATTCTGTAGCCATGGCGATGAGCCATGGCCTACTGTTTGTCTGTTAGACTCTTGGGGGAATCTGGTTACCTTCTTACACAGTTACTGTGCAGACTCTGGCTCGGTGATGATGATCCTCACCTCAGTTCTTGCTTGCATTTGTTCTGGACCAATTTAGCATAAGAATTTACATCCAAGGGACCCCTGGGTGGCTCAGTTGTTAAGGGTCTGCCTTCGGCTCAGGTCATGATCCCAGAGTCCTGGGATCGAGCCCCACATCGGGCTCCCTGCTCCGCGGGAAGCCTGCTTCTCCCTCTCCTACTCCCCCTGCTAGTATTCCCTCTCTTGCTGTGTCTCTCTGTCAAATAAATAAATAAAATCTTAAAAAAAAAAAAAGAATTTACATCCAAATAAAACTTTTGTTGATTCCTGCTATGGATGTAATCTGTGAACCACCAGGACAATGGTACTTGCTTTTTCTTCACAAATGTAAATAAATATTCTATTAAAACTAGATTTCATAGAGATGGCTTTCTATATTTTTCTATACAGACTTTTTAAAAACAATTGTGGTTACAATATGCATAATATAAAATTGACCATTTTAACCAGTTTTAAAAGTGTATAGTTCTGTGGCATTAAGT